AGTTACCATAGGGGTAGCACAGGAGAATACTAATATTATAACTAGAACAAAGAAACATACAATGAGTCAGTTCATTCATGAGTCAGTTCGAGTAGTACACACAGTACATTGCTATACATGCTAGATAGAGAGAACGTACATTACAACTAGCACACGCAGAACATTTCAGTACACACAGGCTAGATAGAGGAAGATTACACTTTCAGTTAGCACATTTATTACATATACGTTTATGCAGTTATGTGAACCATTGAGCGGGTCATGGCACTTCCTGCCACAACCATTCTTGTATCCCGAATCTCCTTAATTGGAGAGTGTATGAGTTTGCTTATAGATCTATACTGGATTGACTATCCTACACCTTGGGACTTGCAAGTCTACGGGTGCCAAATGTCATTTCTTACGGCATCTTACATCATCTTTTACTAGAGTCGGTAGCAGGATACAGGTCGAACACATGTTATTTGAAAACACCTTCTTATAATAAGGTAGTTAGTACCACGGTAGTCACTTATTACAGATACTACGGTACGATAATATTTTCCCATTACATTTACTTCGTGAATATTCACACGATGCACGGTAATGTAGTAACTATATTTTTGGTTAATGATAGTCAGAATTTGGGAAAACACACACACACACACACACTCTAACAAGAGACATACACGAATACGATATGCCTTGGTAGAAGGCTACAGTTAGTAGGAAACATAGGGTTTTCTAGGAGAGTTCAAACATTATACAAAAGATTTTACAGAAACAACACTCAAACGTTTTCATACAAACTCAGACGTTAATATACTTATGATCTCACCAGCATTAAGCTGATACTCGCTTTCAAAATAACTTGTAATCTTAGGTCATCACTAGACAGGTACAGGTGCCAGGCTTTTGAGAAGATGGAGTTCGTTCAAGACTCATCTTTTATTTTGATATGTATATGTTTGGTGTCTATAACTTTTACAGAACACACATGTATGAAATTATAATATTAATGCAATGGATGATGTTGTTGCTTGTTTACTACTATTCTTTGTTGTGATACTCTACATGACGTCCTCCGCCCCAGAATGTTTCCGCCATTCATGATTTTGGGGTGTGACAAATATGTTTGTCCCCTGTTTTATCTTAAGCAACCTACTTTCACTTAAAATATTATGTCTGTTGTTTTGTTTATTAAGTTAACAAAATATATGAAACTTTAGACATTTTATCATAAAGGAGTTTTACGTTTTTCAAAAACTTATTTGATGTATGCTTCTATTCATTCTTCTCCATGATGGTTAGATGCTAAAGTTGAGATCATCATCGTGTAAATGTGATTATGATTATTATTTTCTTTCTTGATGTATATTGTGATCTTTATGGGGTGGTTTATTGATTAGTATCCACTGCGCTTTGGTTAGTATGAGTCTTGGTGGACTTTCCAGCAACTCACGGTTATAACCACATTGAAAAGTCCATAGATATTGAAATGGTGGAATAGTTTGTTTCATCGATGGAGCCGTGTTATGTTCAATGATTTCCTTAATATTTCTAGGTTTATTTGATCGTCTATAAGATTACTACAATAATTTTATTTTTATTATCTTTTTGTGTCTTTGAATACGGTTAGCAACTTCTGATTCGTTTTCATTGTTGATAGGAACAACGTTTACAGGGATGAGAGTACTTGGTTTTCAATACATGAAGTGGTTACTACAAGCTATGGTTATTGTCATTGATGAAAAAATGATATATCTTGATAATTCTTTGATTTACATGAGGATTCAGGTAAATTGTGTTTGCAAGACGGTAATGAGGGCACTGTGAGTATTAGGATTGGAAGCTTACTTAGATGGGGAAGCGACCTATTTACAAATTTTATTAAGATTTTTGCATTTGATTTTCTCAGTAACCATAAATCTGTCATGGCTTCAGAAAAATGTAATTATGGATTTTTTTTTTTTGCAAAACTCTCATTCTGTAAATTTGTTTTCATATCTTTAAATTGATGTTTTTGTGGTGCCTTTATTTCTATGTTAGAAAAAGGAGTTTTTTTATGGTTGGATAAAATTACATACAAGTTAAACAATTGTCAAAGAGAGGGTATAAAGGCGGATCTAGCAAGTTGCTTTGTGTGATGTTTTTGCATTGAAGTTAAACAGCTACATATCCGAACATCAAAATGAAAATGCTCTTTTGATCATCCTCCTACGTATGGCAAAGCTCAAGACTTGAGGTGGTAAGAATAATTATTTTTAGATGTCTATGCTCATTACATTAATATTTTATTTATAATATGAAATAATCTATTACTTCAATTCGCAAGTCGGTAACTGTTTATTTGGATCGAGATTGCATATTAATGATGATATGCATCATATTTCAGAATTTAAATTACTAATATCGATTTGAATGTTGAGTCTTTCATTAATACTACACAACTTAACACAGAAACTGTTGTGGCCAAGCCAAAAGATTACTACATTCGTTTTCAAATAAAAACATTGATGATATTCTAGATTACAATGTGGTATACTTAATATTATTTATATTTTTCCATTATATATAACAATTTTTTTAATATGTGTGTATATATATATATATATGTATGTATGTATGTATGTATGTATGTATGTATGTACCTCATTGTAAATTGGTTTGTCTATCATTGTTACTATAATCGGTTTCAATTTGGAGGAAGGATGATATTCTTTTTATTGTCGTGACTATTCAAAAAAGGTAACTAAAAATGGTGATGATAGTGATAGTGAACCATTTAATTGTAATGGTTGCGGAGGAGTTTCTGATGTATTCAGCAAGTAAGTTCATAATTTTACATTTGTAAACTTCTTGTCTCATGAATCTTTATTACAATGTATCAATTTTTATTCATTGTCCATTAACGTGTCATACATTAATATTTAGGGTAAGGGTCGTAATACGTGTTCAAGATGAAACTGGGTCTGCATTTATTCATCTTTTCAGATTCATCATGATGATCCATCGTATTTTCAAGATAAAGCTATTTTGGTCTCTACTAATGAAGAAGTTGATGCCATCAATGACTACATGTTAGAATTAATGTAAGATGAAGGGTTATATGAGTTCAAATTCGTTATGTGAGACCGAGACAGAAGATTCTTTTGAGGAATCAGTATACTCTCCGGATGTGTTGAACGCTTTTAAGGCCTCCAGAATTCCCAAACATAAACTTATACTAAAAAAAGATGATGCGGTCATGTTGCTTCGTAATATTGACCAAACCAGAGGAATATGCAATGGTACTAGATTACAAATCGTAAGGCTTGGAAGACACGTCATTGAAGCATGAATCATATCTGGTAGATTTTTCAACGACACTACCTATATACTTCACATGAAGTTGACTCCATCCGATTAAAAATTTTCATTCCGTTTTCAACGTAGGCAATTCCCAATAGCAGTTTGTTTCTCTATGACCATTAACAAAAATCAAGGACAGTCATTATCAAATGTTGGATTATACTTGCGTAGACTTGTCTTCACCCATGGTCAGTTATATGTAGATGTTTCTCGTGTAACAAACAAAAAAAGATTTGAAGGTACTCATATGTAACGAGGAAGGTCGTTTAACTAATAAAACAAAAAAACGTTGTCTATAAAGAGCGTGCAACATTTATAGTTATTTATCGATTTCAGTGTTTCTTCTTCACTTTTCAATAATAACAATAGCCATAAACTCTATTTTATAATTATTATGCAATATATATATAAATGTTTTGGTAATTTTTTTAATACATTCCCCCTCCATTTAACGCGTGTTATAATCTAGTTGAGATGTAGTAGCATAACTAGCTATAATTGATTTAAATATTTAATCAAATATTTATGTTTTCACCTCAATTCCTACTTCGTCTCCTCTTCCCGAGATCATATCACATGTTGCAATTTTTATATAACTACAAACTTTACGTAAAAAATGAATTTCTCATATACAACTGAACATTTTCTAACCCCTGGAAAGCGGAGGTCATATATATATATATATATATATATATATATATATATATATATATATATATATATTACTCTTAATTAACTAACAACAAACAATCAGTCATTTATATTATATTTAATAATTAATGGTAAAGTAAATAATCATTACTTAATTACTACAAAAGTAATAACATTTGACTAAAAAATGTTTTTTAATCATTAAAGGGTGTTTTTTAGTATGGGTTGTTTATTTAGCCATTTCATATTAATAAAATTCGAAAAATAAGCTATTTTATCAGTTAGTTGTTAGACATATGGTGTTTTTTATATGCAAATAATCTCATGTTAATAATCTAGTATATAGATATAATTTATATGTTAATAATCTTATGTTAATAATCTAGTATATATAATTGTGTGTTATTTGTTTATTATATGCGTATGTTTGTTTGTATGTAAAAGCATGTGTATGTGTGTAAAGACAAGGCGCCTTTGGCTTTTAGTAACATTTAAGATTTGGAGCCTTCAAAATGATTCTTTGGAAATAAGAGGGGATTATTTAATGAATGGCCCCCACTTTTCTTAATTTATTTTAGTGAGAGTGTTGAAATATATTATCTGTTTAAAACCCATTTTTAGTGGTTTTGTTGAACCGGTGTTTTTGGTTTTAACAAAACTAACCGGCTTTTAGTGGATTAATTTATATTTTTATTGATTGGTTTAACACTACACTAGTTAAATGGCTTTAAGCTAGTTTAATGTTAGTATAGTTAACCGGATCAAATTAATTGAATATGTTTAATGGGTTTGTCGTGTCGTGACACAGTGTCAGGCTAAAGAGTTTTAAGTGTCTTTTTCTTGTTGACATATTTTGATATGTTCAACCTGGTTAAATGTCGGCAGCATACGATATGTTTGTCATCTCTACACTCACCGATAATAATGTGTAGTTTGCTATCTGGTTATCGTACCAATATATTTAATGTAATGAACGGGTTACCCAATGATCTAAATGATTTATGTTTTGAAAGTACTAATTCAGTAATAACAAAAATAAGTTTAATGATTTAAATAGCGCAAATGAAAAATACTTAAAAGAACTTACAAGATCTTAAAATTATTTCATCGGCTGTTTTCCTTTTAAGAAAAAATAAATAAATAAAAAAAAATCGGCATAGGAATTTTTTCCAAGCTATGTTGCTTCTCTTTGAGCCTTTATTGAAATCTTTGAACTCCGTACGGAACTGTTGGCATCGGGAAACTATGATAGCCGTCCTCACCAGCAAAAAGTGGAGTTTCAACATATGCATTCTACAATATCCATGGGGTAAAACACATTAACAATAACTAAACAAATAAACAAGATCATGATGTGTGTCGATAATGTGTCACAGATGCTCTACTTTTTACAACGGATTTGATGATCTACTGCTAATTAAATCCGTCCACTATACCACAAGAATATATTTTGTCACTACTTTGTACCTAGAAAATCAAAATGTAATACTGAAAACCTTTTTAATGATAAGAGATACTTACCCCCTGCTTTTGAAGTGCAACCTCCAGTGCGTTCACAATCTGGTGCATCGTTGGTCGATCTTTACGATCTCTTTTTAAGCATCGGTTTGCAATGGCTGAAAAAGTCATCACAGAATCCCAAACTGTTTGTCCCTTGAGATCTTGAAAGATAATATCTTTTAATTTATTTTCATTATAACATTTTATCCACTTCTGGACTAAAATGTTAATTAGTTTACCATTACTATATTCACAACATGATCTTCCGCATAGCACTTCAAACAGTACTACCCCAAAGGAATATACGTCAGACTCTTTTGATAGGAAACCCATCTCTGAATATAATGGATCGCAATATCCAAGGGTACCAACAGGTCTGGAGACCAGATATGTTTGCGGTTGGTTTGCGGGGCCAATTTTTGACAAACCAAAATCAGAAACTTTAGCATTCCAGTTATCATCTAGAAGGATGTTGGAGCTTTTCATGTCTCGATGGATAAGTCTTTGTTGTGTTTCCATGGGATCATGAAGATATTTTAATGCACGTGCAACCCCGATACATATATGAAGGCGTTGGTTCCATGTAAGAGTAGCATCACTTAGATAACGATCAAGGCTTCCACGAGGGGCATACTCATACACAAGGACTCTCTCATCACCCTCGATGCAAAAGTGAAGGAGAGAGATCAAGTTTTCATGTTTGTATTTGGAAAGCATCATGATCTCCTTCCAAAACTCAGGGTTTCCTTGATCGGATCTTTGATCCAAGCGCTTGAAAGCAACCATGGTTGGTCCCGTGGGAAGGGAGAGTTCTCCTTTGTACACCGAACCAAACCCACCACCTCCGATCCACCTGTCTTGACTAAAGTTGCAGGTTGCCGATTTTATGTCTTCCATTTGAATTTTGAGGTGATCAAACTCTTCCATGATTGAAGACATTGTAAGGAATATAGAAAAGAAGAAAATATGAATATGGAAGTGATCGTAAGTCAATAGCCATCAACATGAAAGCTGGAGCTACTTAAATCGGAATCACATGGTCTTATTAAATTTGTGGCCAATCACTCTCCGTTTTTGTTTTATTGTTTTGTTACCAACTTATATATTTTTAATGTGGGAGGACCGAGGATGCCTCCTATCATTTTCTATTGTTAGGTGATGTAACGTGAACATTTTTTTTATTAGTCTACTTTCAGTTTTATATATTTTATGGTGTTAGGTTGCATAATGTACAACTAGATATAATTGATATTGTTTTGGGCTGTGGTCTCCTTGCAAATTTCATCATTTATATTATTGTCATACATGTGGTGTAATTTTCAACGAATGTGATTAACAATGTTTTATGTTTTAAGTCCCCTTTCATATTTATATGATCTTTACAGCATTAGGTAGTGTAATGTGCAATCAAGTTTGATAGATGTTTTATGTTGGGGGGAAATGATACTGTAGCATAACTAATTAATCGAATGATCCGTATAGTTTCAATTTTTTTTCTTGGTTGGTCTCTCACCAACATCGTTCACCACCGATAGAAACCACCGTTCACCTCCAACCTAAATAAAAAATCTTTACCGGTTAATTTAAAGGATAGTGAAGATGGTTATTGGGTCTAGAACGTATTTATGACTTTTTGATGGTGATGTTTGATCGACTATGGTTTCAGATTCGATTGAGTTTTTTCGATTCTAATTTTGAGGATGCTGGAATGAAGATTAGTTTTCATGTGTTGAATGGTAGTTGATGAAGCTTCAAAATTTGTTTTTGGATTGATTCTGGACTAGTATGCAGATTAATGGGTTCTAATGGTGTTAGCTCCCTTAAAGCTGATTTTTCAGTTCAATGGATGACAATTGAAGGTATTGTGTTTTGTTGTGATGAATAATCGAATCGAAGATGATGTTATTTCGTTTATATGTTGTTTCATGAATGTTTCGAAGGATGATAAGAATTGTTGATTTGGTGATGCTTCGAATATGAAGTGATGATGTAGATGTATTGAATTGGTCTTCAATGATAATTATTTTTTAATTCAAAATTTGTTCAATTATTAGATTTTCAAAGCCTGTTGATGATTGTTAATTTCATTGTTATGGATTTTTGTTTTGAGTTCGATGGTGATGTTAGTTAATCTCATTGTTGGTTTAGTTCACGAAGGTTTGAAGAAGGGTGAAAGATTATTTGCATATACTATCTTTTGAAGCAGATGAATTGATTTTTGATTTTTCGATAGATGAACATGTTGCTTCTCTTCGAAGATAGTGCAGGATCTAGATTTTAAAATTCAAATATTGGAATTGGTTTTCGAGTGAAGAATATGAGTGTGGCTTTTTGTTTCAATGATGTTTAGAAAAGGGGTTTAAGCCGAAACAAAATGGTGTTCGTTTTCAAAACCGGTGGAGATTTTTTATTTCGGTTGTAGGTGAACGGTGTTGGCTGCCAGAAATGAATGGTGGTGTAACATTCGTCCTAGGTATTATTCTTGTGGCACTTATTCATTTTAAGACCTTTAAATAAAGTATTTTTGGTAACCACGACATGATGGTGAGGAGTGTCGCAATGTGGTCTCGTTTAGCAAAGAGCACATATTTGCAAGTGTCACTATGTAACTAGGTCTTGGCCATGATGTGGCAGCGATATGATGTGCAAAACCCTGATTTACGAGGTTTGTTCCCTTATTTAAGGGATGTGATGGATAGGGTTTTCTCACTCATAGCTACCATCACTCCCTCTTGACTTAGAACAAACCATAGCTTCCCTTGGTTGTATCTTGAAGCTTTCTCGTGGTGTTTTGTGTTTTTGATGCAATAAAAAGGTGTTCTTAGTCCAAGATTTAGCAAGAAAGCTCCTCCTCACCACCTTCTTACACACATTTTGGACCTTTGTAAGTCCTCAAAATCATAACTATTGTGTGTAACCTTTCTAGGTATAGGCTTTTAATCACTTTTCTCTATGTTTAAGGTGGTTTGAGTGGATAGATTCTATAAAGTTGGAAACTTTATGAATCCTTGAGGTCCCTTTGTGGTTATATGTTCTAGATATAATATTTTATGAGTCCTTGGTCTCATGCATGAATTTTGAGTTCATTTCTTTCATTTTTGACCTAGCTTGGAAAAGACATGCATTGGACATGTATATTTACAAAGTAAAGATTTGTATGATGCATTTGGGTGTAAGACAGCTTACTGGATAGTATGGATGAGTGGTTTAAGGGATTAAGAGCTTAATCCATTTATTTTACCAAAATAGATGCTACGACGTGGTGGCTTGATCACCATGTTGTGGTGACAGTCATTCTCGCGACTATTTTGACGTGAGGCTACCACTACATGGCATATGTCTCGCGACGACGTGGTTGTTAGCTGGGGTTGGCATTGCCCGTTGACTTTTTGACCAAGTTGAATTTTGTTCAACCCTAGGGTTTTTAGGCTATAGATTGAGGATCTACTTCTGATTGTTCTATATGTAGCTAGTAGCACCAGTCTTTAATTTATATGAGCTGTTTTGATTGTTTGCTAGCTTGTGAAGTGAGTTTTTTTACTATACTTTGTACTGTAGTATGTATCCTTTGTGTGTAAGATATTGATATGTTGTAGTGATCTATTAGACGGGTAGATATGTTATGATTACTTGTGTTTGTTGATTATTGTTTGTTTGTGTGTATATGTCGACATATTGTGGTTAGGTTGAGTCGGTCCTACTCTGTGTTGTAGGCCAAGATACTTGGGTGGTCTAGTGTTAATGTAGGCCCAGGGAGAGCAATCCAAAAATATGTTGTAGGCTCAAGAGAACGACCTAGTTGATATTATAGGCTCAGCAGAGCAGTCCAACCATTGATTGTAGGCTCATGAGGCAATCCAACCTTGTGTTGTAGGTCTGGTGTGCAGGAATTATGTATATTGTTGTGTGGGGTATTTTAGGGGAACTCATTAAGATTTGGCCTGTAGTTGTAGATTTAAATGTTTCAGGTGCTTTTGGGGATCAGGGAAGGAAAATATGTGATTGTACACATCATTTGCGTATTTATGTTTGAAAGATCTTATTCGATACTCTGATTTTATGATTATGTTTTGAAATAATGAGTTGGATGAATTATGATTTTTATGAACACCTCAAAGGTTTTAGACTTATGTCTAATCAAAAAAACATATAAATATCTACTGAAAATCATTTATGAATATGGCAAAGCTTTTTTCACCATGTCATATGGCAGATCTGAATGGTCCATATATATTTGTGTAAACATTGTCTAACAGATCTTTTCCACTTTAACGGTTCACCTATGAATGGCACCTTTGTCATATAGCCAAGTAGGGAAGATTCGCATACATCATCTAACTCTAAGTTAATCGATTACAAGATCCCATCTAACTGGACCCTGGCGATGCTCTTCTTGTTTATATGGCCAAGTCGATAAAGTTATAGACATGATTTATCCAAACTATATTTGGATGGTCAAGGATTATCGATTAAACTTCATTTTTCCTAAAACATATAACATTTTCATAAATGTCATTGCATGGACTTGATTTAAAGTAAAGATCATTATTCATGTAAACCAAAATACTATCATTATTATTATCAAATCCAAAAGTGAAACGTTCACAATAAAATCGATGAAAGGAAATAATGTTTCTTGCCATGTAAGGGGAATAACAACAATCTATTGAACTAATTGAAATACTAGAAGACAAAACAAGATCGTAATCCCCAAACATAGTAACAACAACCTTGCTTGACGAAAACATGTGGTAAAAGAGCAGGACACATGGTAGAAACCGGTATAAACACTTCTCACAATGTGAAAAGTAAATGCTCACGACGTGAGCAAGCCCAAACTATAAAACGAGTCATTTGTGTTATTTTGGAGGATTTTGGCTCACGGGAGGGTAGATGCTACCCGGGAGGCGTTCTCGGGAGTCTATATCGGAGATGTTATGCCGCCATACGGGGGATGTGGACCGAGATATGAGATCTGTTGTGGTATATTTTACCCTGTTAATTAGTATTTGTGATATATGATTATTATTAGATATATTAGACTCGTGTAAGGGTTACGGGTATTTGTGATATGGAGCAATTATGAACCCGTTGGTGAGACTAGTGAGAAAATCTCATGATCATATTTTGAGTTTGGTTGATAAGGGTTATAAACCCTATTACCTGAAAAATACCCGATATGAGAGATTTAGCCACGGGCTTACGAGTTTAGCCTATTATAATAATGTTATTATATTTGGTTATTATTGTTATAAAAGGTCACAGGGTATAATTATTAGTGAGTCTGGACAGGTTCTGAGGAACATGTTATTCGATAAATATGTGTTACCATGTGACGAGCTGGTAGATAGTGGAAAAGCAAACCTGAGACTAGAATAAGTTTATCGACTAACCAAGTGAGTAACACTAATCTAACATCTAGTGTTGTGATAATTGTGATGATTATTATATAATTGATTATTAATTAGAATATTAATTTTTGATTGAGAGAAATGAGAAAATGATGAGAAATAGATTATAGATGAGAGATTGGATTATATTAATAAATCAATATATGATCGATAGATATATTATGATTGGAAGATATAATCCATTTGATATATTGGTCATTGAGTATGAGATGTAATATGAGTGGGATACTGATTATTGATTGGAAAAGTATTTAAAAAGATTACTACTGAATAAATGAATCCTTTGATGAAATGATTACATGTGTGACAATTATGTGGAATATACATGATTTACATTATTTATATGATTTATGATTTATTTGATTATGTTTTAGTTGTTGTTATTCACTAAGCTATGTTATATACGTTTTTGTTATAATCTGTTTTGCAGGTAGATTTATTGTGACGTTCGGCTCGATCTTGTGCTTGCTGCTAGCACGATCCTTGTGATAACTTCTTGTATGCCAGAGTGTCACTGTACACCTAGATTATTTGTAAAACTTTTAAATGCTTTTTTGATAAATTAGGGTGTACCTTGGTAGAAAAATATGGGTGTTACAAATTGGTATCAGAGTCGAGGCTTAAGCGAATTAGGCTCTTATAGTGGATTCCTAAACTTAA